TCAACTTCGACATCTTCAACTCATTCTCCACTAACACCGAGACTCAATTGTTGTCCCTCTCTTTCACTCCATCTCCTTGCCTCGGCTAGCTCTCTCTCCCTTGCTAGAAGTCGGAGAGTTTGGTTTATGTCCTCGTCAAGTAGTAGCAAGGGTGTCGAGTTGCTCCGGGTCATGCACCTCCTACACACAATCGGAAAACACCAAGTCTAGCACAAGCAAAGAACACACACACTTGCAAGACTGGAAATTAAAAGCTAGATTAACAACCAACAACTTTTTCAGAATAACAGATCGTAGTCCCCGACAACGGTGCCAAAAACTTAACTCGCACGAAGCTACACCACAATTACACCCCAATTAGAGCCCAAGTTTTTTAACTCTAATCCGGTGCAGTATAGGGCAAGTATTTAGATATCGACCCGGGCCGGTCTGTTTATCCTTAATTCCATTGTTGAAATCATTATCTAGCAACTAAACTTTGGTTTAAAAGGTTTTCTAATTGAAGTAAAAGAAAACAAAGGTGATTGGGTTTGAAAACTCTTTAGTGGGAAAGTCCCTCGGGTTTCACTTCCCCCTAACAGCTACCATGCTACGTGGATTGGAACAATTGCCTTGGGCATGTTAATCGTGAACCGCAGAGGAAGGCGTGTGTGGTCGGAGACCACAGTCTCAATTGCTAAACCGAGGTGAGGATGAAAGGTCGTGTCACTCGACCCTCTCGGTTTAGACAATAGGTAATCGGCTTACTTCCTCACTCAACTCAAAGGTCGGACGGTTTAACCACGATTAATCGACTTGTTTAATTCAATATTGAGGGTTTCCCTAACTCAACCTAGTTTAGGTAGCTTAGAAAGCGGAAGGAAAACCAACTCGATTGAGTCTCCCTTGAAAGGGGGATTTTCCTCTCTAAACTAGGCTAAGGTGGCAAATTAGATTACTAGTACCTAAATGCACAAACTTAGGGGTGCTAAGCACAATTATGCACAATCCCTAGGATGCTAAGCACAAAACATGCACAACCCCTAAGTTGCTAAGCACAAGCATGCACAATCATGGTGAATAATGCCTCAAAAATTGAATTGAACAAATACCCAATAACAATCATCCAAACCACATACAAGAAAACTACATGGTAGAGTTAGGGTTTCACTACACCCAAGTGAAAGGAGGTCTACTCCATGGTAGAAGTGGGAAGAACAAATGGGAAAAAGGTGGAAACCATCTTTGGGGATGCCTCCTCTCTTCTTGACACTTGAGTTGAGCTTTCCTTGGTGAAATCTTCCCGAAAATTATGCCTTGAAACCAAACCCTAACCTTCTTCTTCCCTTTGGTTTTGTTTCTCTCACTAGAATGATGAAGAAGTTGTTTCTCACAAAAGTGGGCTCTCCCCTCTCTCCTCCTTGCAGCTCAGCTTTTAAACCCGAGAAGAGCTGAGTTCATGGACTGAGTTCATGGCCGTGAACCATCAAACGCGTCCGTGAACTCAAGGTGTGCGCCAAAAAGCTCTGCATCGCTTACGTCAGTTCACAGGCAACTGCTTGTGTTCACGGTCTTAGTGACCGTGAACTCACCTTGCTTCAGTAACCTTCACATTGGCTCTGGACGCCTCGCGATTCACAGTCAAGTCCCCTTCTCCACGGTCTTGCATGACTGTGAATTCCTTCAGTTAACCGTGAACTGGCGTTTTTTCACCTCTTCTCCCAGTTTTCGATCCTTTTCGCCAATCTTTCGACTCCGTGGCTGGTTTCACCTATTAAATCCTGAAACACACTCAAACACGAAGAACTGAGCGTAAAACTGACCTTTAAGGAGCGAATTTGGAACAAACATTTAAGTAAACCGAGGGCAAAAGATGTGCAATTAGGCCCGAATCTTCCATACATTACATAATAGCCCTAAGACTAGGGTTAGGGTTTAGAATCCCTAGTACCTTAGAAGACTACTCTAGAAAGGAGGGAAGAAGATACATAGAAGAAATTGAGGAAGACTTAAGGTTGAGGAAGGTGGCTCCTCTCTTCTAGCTCCTCTTCTTCTCATTCTTTCAGCTTCTCTATCTTCTCTCTTTCTCTCTAACTAGGAATTTCTCTCTCGAAATCAACTTTCTTCAATGGGGAAAAGGGGTCTTCTATTTATAGCATTCAGAGGACGGAGAAGTTCACATCCAGGCAGTGTGGAGATTGTGGGCTGGCTTCACAATCGCGATCCGTGAAGCGCGGCCGCAAACTTCCTTGCAGTCAATGTGAACTGTGGCCGTGATCAGAATAGGGAAACTCTCTGTTTCTCCTCGGTTGGCTTCTTGATGAAGGCCGCGATCTTAGGCTTTGAGGCCGCGATCTTGACCTTCAGTTCGCAGTCTATGTTCTCGGTGGTGAATCTCTAGGTTGTGATCATGAGCCTTCTGCCCATTTTGCTACACTTGTGTCCCTTTTTGTACCTAATTCGCATGTATTGTCTAAAGCACTCTAAAATCACATCATAATCAAATAGGGATGCAATTGACGCTATTATAACGATCATGCACATTAATTAGCACGAGACAAACCTAAACATGAAGAGTAAATAACACCAATTTAGGTATATCTAATACAAAATAAAATATTAATACGTATTTTATACGTAATTTACCCGTGCCATATTTTACTTACTATGTTGGGAAATATGTTGAGGATTTGGTATTGAGGTTCTTTGCTACTCCCCACATGCCAAAAATAAAAATTTTATGTCCTTTTACTCTGGTTGCCAAGCTGCCTAGCTCTGTGAGGATGCAGGAATAGATACCAATATCATGCTACAATAGCTAGTTTAATGGCATCTCAAAACTTCTTGTTAACAGACTGGCTCTAGTCCTCTCTAAGATAATAAGCCCTTCACTATTGTTTTCATTATATGGAGATCCATTGGGAATAATATTCCACTAGCATTGGAATTAGTTGAAGAGTATCATAAAGCTAAGATTTTCCTTAGATGCAAAGTTAAAAATGATTTAATGAAGACATTTGATTCAGTGCATTGGGGATTCTTGTTTTCTTTATTAACTGCAATGAGATTCATAGAAGGTTTCATTAGGTTGCTTTATGTATGTGTTACAACCCCTTATATTAGTGTATCAATTAATGGTGGATTATGTGTGATTATGATGCTTGTAAGTGTTCACATTAGGGTGATCCATTATCACCATCACTTTTATTGTGGCTATGGAGATGTTTGATTAAAAAAGTAGCAAGAGAGGATGTTTGTTTGAAGCATTAAGCCCCCTGCTCACATTGATGACTGGAACACTATGGTGATGTGGTGTGTGCAGAAATTTCAAGGGGTATCTGTCGAAGTAGTAATGTGTCATTTGATTTGGTGCCTAGCAGTAAGTGTGACCTAGATGTACTCACATATATGGATTGAAACTGGCAAATTCTTCTCCTCTGGCCTCTGGGTGTGTGTGTCCAAGGTTATGTAACCTAATTCGTGGGTCTAGGCCCAACGTTCCCGCTTTGGAGCGCTGAATCGCGGATTTAGGATGGAGCGCAAAGAATTCGCGAACTATGTTTTTTGGGAGCGCGAATTATTTGAGGGAGAACGCGAATTTCATTGACGAGGAGAGACATCCCTAAGATTCAGTGGGAGAGAGGCGGGGACGATGGATCTGACCGTTTCCGTCACTGCCGCGAAAAAGAGCGAGAGGCCGGGATTCTGGGGGTGCATGCTTCCGCTAAGCCGTAACCATATCCATTTCGTTCTGATCGCCGGAACATCCCTGCCTCCAGCTAGCCATAACCAGATCCTTGTAGTCCCCTGCAAAATCAAACAACCATAATCAGATCCTTGCAATCCCCTGCAAAATCAAACAAAACAAACAGAACAAACATGACATGCAAAAACCAAATTCTTTGATTAAAAAAACCTCTTGATCGGAATCAACGGAGGGGAAATGAGTGGGTGAGAGGAGATACATTCTTCCCCCTCTCTTTTTCTCTTTCACTTGAAAAGAAAGATTGAAGAGCCAGAACAGAAAGGGACTGGCCGATTATGTAGCTTCAGGGGAGCTTTCCTGCCTCTTTCCACTTTGTTAGTTTAGAAAGAGAGAAGTGGGTAATAGAAAGAAGCAGAAGAATAGAGAGAGGCAGATGAGAAAGGAATCGATTACTAGCTTTTGATGGGTAAATTGAAGGGCACTACAGAGGATGAACAACATATAGAATAGATAATAGGGATTCATCGGGTTACAGAGAAAGGCAAAGAAAGGGAAAGGTAGAGAGAGAGAAAGAGGTTTATGGGCACATAGTGATATTTTGTAATTGGGTCTTCTAAACTTGGGGGTTGGGTACAGTTGGAAAAATTGCCCTCTCAATTACCGAGTGAGGAGTGAGGAATGACATGTCTAAAATCTAAATGCACATTATTATACATTTATAATTATTTTTATATTTTATTTACTATCTTTATTTTAATGCATTTAGAAAATAATTAATAATTAATATAATATTGACGCTCTATTCACGCTCTCAATTTTGAGTTCTTCAAAAATCGACGCTCTTACGCTCTCGCTCCCGCTCCCGCTCTCGCTCTCGCTCCACGCTCTGGTTACCTAAGTCCAAGGACATCCAGATTCCAGAGTAATGTTTGTCAAAGCGTTTGGGCAAGCAGCAAGACGAGGAGGCGAGAGAATCAGCACTCAACCTAAGAGGAATGTAAGAGTCATTGCTGATGCTCAACAACTCAATACTCTCTCTGGCAATCAAATTTCTCGTTGGTATCCAGTAAACTTAAATCAGGACTGGAGCGTCTACTTGAAAAAAAAGAAAAAAAAAAGGAAAAAAAGCAAAACTGCTCTAGTATGACGAGCAATTTGCCTGACTGTCCGTTATAAACAGCACAGCCCCAAGGCCACAGAGAACAGCCCAATCTCGGCAATTATAAAACTCCAAACCAACCTCTGAAGAATCTTCCAAAAATAACGTCCATTTTTATTATTATTATTTTTACCAAATAATTGAATGATGGGATGGCTAAAGAGTCCCACAGAACATAGCGTGGACTCCACCACACCATGCACAAAACACCATCCCCCAATATTTGTGTTGGTTGTGGTGAGCAGAAAACAGCTAAAGGCAGAGTGTCAACACATACCATACCAGCCTGTTCCTCACTCTCAGCTCCTATTTTAATTTCCGCCCAAATTACCGTGGAAAGCACATCTCCCTCTCTGATTGATTCCATTCTCCAACTCTTTCTTGTTCCTATATCTCTCCTTCCCCTCCAAAAACCCCAAACTTGTCCTCTCGCCCTCTTGCTTCCTTAACCTCTTATCTTACAACAACACAACCAAATCAATGGATCCGTGCCCGTTCGTGCGGATCCTGGTCGGGAACTTAGCCCTGAAGCTTCCCCGCTCCCCCTCCGCCGCTTGCGAATCCTCTTCTTCCAATTGCCTGGCCAAGGTCAGGTTCAAGGGCTTCCCCACTCAGGTGGCCACTATCCCCATCGTACAGGAACACGACGATAACCACCAAAACTCTCAGCACCATCGCCCCCGCCACTCCTCGCTGCAGTCTTCCTCTTCGTCGGCCTCCTCCTCCAACCCCAACCCCAATTCCAGTTCCTCTACTCACTCGCTGGCAGCCTGCTTCAATCTCGACAAATCCCAGATCGATAAGTTCCTCCAATCTAAGAAACCCAAGAGTTTGAACATCGAGATTTACGCCGGTGACGACGGAGGAGGGCCTTCTTCCTCAGCTGCCGCCTGCTGTTGTTCAAGCCGGAAGCTCATGGGGACTGTCGTCGTTCCGCTTGACCTCCGGAAGGCAGAGTTTCGGCCTTCTGTTATGCATAACGGCTGGGTGCCCATTGGGGGAAGGAAGAAAGGAGACGAACCAGCGCACTTCTTCCTCAATGTTCGGGTTGAGCCCGAACCCAGATATGTCTTCCAGTTCGAATCCGACCCGGTCTGTAGCCCTCAGATTTTCCAGGTTCAGGGCAGCGTCAAGCAGGCCGTCTTCACTTGCAAATTCAATTTGAGAAACCAGGGAGATCGCAGCAGCCTCTCACGGTAGGTCCCCGATTCTTGTTTTGGTTGCTGGGAAGCGCAGCGACTATGTGGGAGAAAGTTTAATTATCCGGATGGATCACTAATTTCTTTCTTGTTTTGTTCAGGCCGGACTCGAGCGCCCCAACAGGTTGCCTGCGGTCCATCACAGGAGGCGGCGACGGTGGGAGCCAGAGTAATCAATTCACGAAAGATCGCAAGGGGTGGACAATCACAATCCACGACCTCTCTGGCTCGCCGGTGGCGATGGCATCGATGGTAACCCCGTTCGTTCCTTCCCCTGGTTCCGACCGGGTCAGCCGATCAAACCCGGGAGCCTGGTTGATTCTCCGGCCGTCTTCAGGCACATGGAAATCCTGGGGGCGACTGGAGGCGTGGCGAGAAGGCCGCAAAGGTCTCGGGTACCGCTTCGACCTCCTCCACGACGGAATCACCGCCACTCCCACCACCTCCACGCTCGTCAATTCGGTGGTGAGCACCAAAGGGCGGGGGAAATTCGCCATCGACATGACGGGAACCGCCGCTACCCCGGCCTGCAGCCCGCATAGCAGCTGCGACTTCGGGTCGGGATCCGGATCGTGGTCTGGGTCAGAGTTCGGGTTGGGGATGCTGAGCCAGCCGATCTACAAGGGCTTCGTTATGTCCTCGACGGTGGAAGGGAAGGGCGGCCAGCCGGAGGTGGAGATAGGGATCCAACACGTGAACTGCACGGAGGATGCGGCGGTGTTTGTTGCGCTGGCGGCAGCGGTGGATCTGAGCAAAGAAGCGTGCCGGTCGTTCCCTCGGCGGCTAAGGAAAGGGTTGCAGCAGCAGGCTTAGTCTTTTGTCGTATAACGCTCAATGGGTCCGTCGTTTTGGGTTGGAGGCTTTTGCGCTACAACTAAAACTAACAGCGGAATGTGAGCTGGATGGTACATGTACAGTGAGGAATGACCACATAAACTCTCTTCTTTTTTGGTTTGTTATTAAAGTTTTGGTGAATAATTTATTTGTAAATTCCCAGTTCTGGATGATTATGTGGTTGAATGAGAATCCTATGCAATTCAGGTGGTTGATGGTAACTGGTCACTTTGTGCGGCCATGAGGTGGCAAATTGACGCTAGAGAAAAGTATAAGAAACGAAAAACAGCTCACACGCACTAATTGCTGAGTATTTTACAATAATATTCACTAAGGTTAAATTATTTACAAATTTATTCACCATCCCGTCGTCTTATGTTCAAATTTAGCCATCTATATGCATTTTTTAGCAACATAACCAAAAACTTAGTGATATAGCCGGATTTTTTCGCTAAAATCGACCACTTTATGTTACCCATACTTTTAGTTATATTTTGTGTAACACGTTAGGCGAATCTTACATTGATAAAGCACGATAGAGATTTATGGTTCATAAGTAAGAATCTGGCCTTAATCGACAAGACGCATTTTGGGGTGAAATGGAAGAGTTCTTGTGAGAACTCCAAAGTTAAACGTGCTCGGTTTGGAGTACAACAAGGATTGGTGACCTTATGGGAAGTCACATTGAATTGCACCCCAACTCGAAAACCGTAAAGGTCTGGGCCCAAAGCGGACAATATCTTCGTTGGGAAAAGGTCTGGGATGTTATAAGTGGTATCAGAGCCTTTCCGCGTCCCTCTTGAACAATGATGGGGCAAACCTCAACGAGGACGTTGAGTCCAAATGGGGTGTATGTAATACCTTAGGCGAATCCCACTTCAACAAAGCACGGGAGAGATCCATGATTCATAAGTAAGAAATCGACTTTAACTGACAAGACGCGTTTTAGGGTGAACTTGAGGAGTTCTTGTGAGAACTTCAAAGTTAAACGTGCTCAATGTGGAGTACAACAAGGATGGGTGACTTTATGGGAAGTCACCTTGAATTGCACTCGAACTCGAAAACCGTGAGGGTCTAGGTGCAAAGCGGACAATATCTTCGTCGGAAAAAGGTCCGGGATGTTACAAGTTGTATCAGAGCCTATTCGTGTCCCTGTTGAACGATGGTGGGGCAAACCGCAACGAGGGCGTTGAGTCCCAATGGGGAGGGGTGTATGTAACACCTTAGGAATATCTCACATCGACAAAGCACGAGAGAGATCCATGGTTCATAAGTAAGAAACCAGCCTTAACCGACAATACGCGTTTTAGGGTGAACTGGAGGAGTTCTTGTGAGAACTCCGAAGTTAAACGTGCTCAGCGTGGAGTACAACAATGATGGGTGACCTTATGGAAAGTCACCTTTAATTGCACCCCAAGTCGAAATCCGTGAGGGTCTAGGCCCAAAGCGGACAAAATCTTTGTTAGAAAAAGGTTCGGGATGTTACACTTACTCTTCCACTCAAATGCTAACAACTCGTTTGGTACCAAATGAATCGAAAATTCTTTTCATTTTAAAATTAATTAATGTATAGAATTCATTGTCAAATGCATTCTTGTGTTTGGGATATGTGCCTCATGCCCGGATAGAGCCTAAAACCACATAAAAATCCCAAAAGGAGTGGATCCGAAAGCCAGCCCAGTACATCCGTTTGTAGGACCTTAAGGCCCTGAAGCGAATGTCGGAGACGCCTAACATGACATTCAATGCAGAACAATGTAAAAGACGAGAAGTATAAATAAGACTCTTTGACCTCATTTATGGTAATTTCAACCACTCACTCACTTTCTCTCAATAAGACTCTTTGATTCATGAACAAGGTGAGAACTTTTCGTTTGCCCGTTTTTGGTGACCTCGAATGTCGTTGGTGGTGGATGTCGGTATTGTTTACAACGGTCCATATGTTAATTTGCCAATAGCATTGAGATTCGCCACTTTGTGCCCTTTGATTTGCCCCAAAGCATTTTTTAGGTTGAGATATTACCTTGTGTGAAATGGTTTGCTTGGGGACAAGCAAACGTCTAAGTGTGGGGGAGTGATTCAGGCCTAATTGTACACTTTTTATCCCCGTTTTCCTTTGATGTTTGTTGCATCTGAACTCCAAAAGGGGTGGTTTTACGCTAGGTTTCTCGTGTTTCAGTGTGTTTCAGATCCTAACAGGCGAAACCAACCCCCGAGTCGAAAGTTGGAAGAAAAGGAGCAACGACCGGGCAAAGATGAGGAGACAGCAACAGTTCAGGGTCTGCCATTGGAGTTCACGGTCTCTGGGACCGTGAACTCGAGCCACAATCCGTGAACCAAGGAGCGTCCAGAGAGGGTTTTGAGGTTACTGACGCCAAGGATGTTCACGGTCGCTAAACCCAAGAAGTAAAGCGGTGCGTTTTGATCCAGCACATTGTGTTCACGGACGTGTTTTGATGTTCAAGCCGTGAACTCAGTCCGTGAACTGGGCCCGATCTTAGTATAAATAGCCAGCTGAAAGGAAGAAGAAAAAGAGAGACCTAGTGTGAGAAACTACTTCTTCTTTAGATTTTTAGAGTGAGAAAGTGACGAACCGAAGAAGAGGAGAAGTTAGGGTTTCATCTCCAAGAAAGGATTTGAGAATTCCTCCCCCCCCCCCCCAAAGGAGAATCTCTTCAACACAAGGAGCAAGGATTGCATCTTCTTGATGATTTTCCTTTCCCTCTCTTGTATTTTCCCTTCTCCTATAATGGAGTAGTCCCTTCTTTCACTTGAGTGTTTGTAAACCCTAGCTACAATTATGTGAATGCTTGTATGAATTGAATGATTTTGTGTGTCGTTGTGTTTAATGTGAATGTGGAGGTATTATTTATGAATGATTGTGTTGTGTGAAAGCCTATCAATATAATTTCCATTCTAACCTAGGTAGAGAGAAAACCCCCTTCCTTTCTTTGAAAGAGGCTTGAATGCTTGGTTTTCTTGGGTAATTCGTTGCCTCCTAATTAGGTTAATGCAGGGCAAACCTCCCATTTCGTATTAGCACTTAAGGTTTGGTTGTGGCCTTGTGGGTGGTCGTCCGAACTTCAATTTGAGGGTGAAATCTAACCTTTCCTTAGTCAATAGGTTGAGAGGGTCGCATTAGCAGCTTGGATCGTATCCCATTTCCTTAACCTATAAACTAAGAGGGTCGCTTTGGCTACTTGTTGGACAACCATTTCTTAGTCAATAGGTTGAGAGGGTCGCATTAGCGGTTTGGATCATATCCCATTTCCTCAACCTAGAGACTAAGAGGGTAGCTTTAACTACTTGTTGGACAACCATTCCTTAGTCAATAGGTCGAGAGGGTCGCATTAGTGGTTTGGATCGTATCTCATTTCCTTGACCTATGGACTAAGAGGATAGCCTTGGCTACTTGTTAGACTTCCCTACGGTTTATAACCCCCTAACCATGCACGGTCGTTTGATTAATCCAGTCGTAATTGGTAGCTAGGGGGGAGCAACACCCGGGTGAAGCCTTCTCAATTAGTGTCAAATCCATTTTACCTTTGCAAAGTAATTTAGCTTTAGACCTTTGTTTTCACCAAAACTAATTCGATAGATAATGTTTTAAATAATCGAAGTAGTGGTACATGGACCAGCCCGGGTCGATATTTAAACATACTTGCCGTATATTACACCTATCTAAGGTTTATACTTGGGCCTTAGGTGAGATTTCATTGTGATAGTCAGAGCGAGTCAACGACCGGATTGCTGTGGCGGAGGATGAAGAGGGAGAAGAGCAATGGTGGTTTTTCTTTTGTGTGACACTTTCGAGGCTAATGGCGGCTTCTTGGACGACGAACTCTTCCATTTTGGTGATGAAGCTTGCGTTGCTGCCGCCTTTACTCATGATCGAGGTCTATGGCCATGGCGGATGGGGGAGACCCAACACAGAGGAGGAGAGAGGAGAAAAAAGTGGAGAGAGAAAGATGGAAAGAAAAGGTTGAGAAAAACGCAAATAGATAATGAAAAGGCAAAAAAAGGATTAGTTAATTATTTTCTAATTTTTCTATTAGTTTTTTAATATGATAATAATTTTAAAATATTGTGCATTATTACTTTGCACCCTTCTACTTATTTGCACCCTCCTCAAATTTGTTTCCCCTACAATTTGCACCCACTTATTGCCAAACATAGCATAACAGAATTTGCATCATCAGAAATTATCATACTTCAACATCAAACAAGTGATATGCAGATTTATCATTCTTCAATTGTTGATTTTTGAAATAATTAGGAAAGCAAAATTAGTTCCCCTGCAAGTGAATAAAAATTTAACTATTTGTTCCTTAATCAATGTTCAAATCAAGAAGGACAATTGACAGTACTACTATCAACCAACACTTCTGGTTGCTATTGAATTGCTATGTATAGAGGTATTCAGAGGGGTTAGGCCTTAGGAATGAAGAATACGATATCAATATCCTGTCTGTCTCCATAATTATGCTTTGGAGTTTTGCTCGAACCCAATCCAAATACAGTAATTAAGACAAATTCTATCCGTTGATCGGTTCATGGTTTGGGCGCATACCCGAACTAATGAGTTTTTCGCCAAGCCTAATTTGATAGAAATCAGGAAGATATGAATATGAGAAATAAAAATGGGATAAGGCACTCTGCCCAAAAACATCCATGGGAAGTATGAGATTTTGAAGAAATCCAACATTTTGTTCTGGTTGAAAGGAAGAGATGGAATAAATTAGTTTATTTTTCCTTACAATGGGAAAGTCCAAATAACAGGTAGGAAAATAAGTTTGACGATAAAGCCAAATTGAAATTCAATATCAATCATTGTTAATCCATCAAAAACCAAAAATTCTCTCGGCCAACTGTTGATAATGCGGTTGAGGGTAGCAGTTGCCTTAGCTATCTCTTCGTTGGCTATCACCGGAAACAACTAATATTCTTTTGTCTCGTTTTGTTTGGTCCTTCTTTGATCCGAACATCGAACTTCTGATGCATGCTAGCTAGGGCTGGGCATGCGGGCGGATCATCCGCGGGTTTGAGCCGACCCACCCGCATTTGACCCGAATTTCATTAAGTGGGTGGGTCTGTGGGTGGGTGACGGATTGCGCTCGGAGCCATCCGCCGGGTGGTGGGTGGGTTGTGGGTGAGTGTGCGGGTGACCCGCTCAACCCAACATCAAAAAGATCAAAGTCGTTGACGCTAGAGAGAGGAGAGTGGAGACGTTAGATATAAACTCGGACTGCTCCTGGAGTTTGAA